AAAAAATAGAAATGCAGACCAGAAACTAATGCCTAAAGCAGTAAAAATAAAAGTATAGGGATGTACGCCAAAAAAAATTCCAAACCTATTAGTTGATCATGACTTTACTGAGCAAGAGTCAAGTAGTCGCATAAGATCAAACTCAATGAAATTATTTTTCGCCATACTATTTTTCGCCATACTAAGTGCGTGTGAAGCATAGTTCATAGTTGTTTGGCGAGCAGCTGAAGAATATGCACCAATGAAAGTTGTTCCAGATAGATGAAGAAATTATGTAGTAAATGATAAAAAGAAAATTAAGGATAAACAATAGAAACGTTTATGCGCAAAGTTATAGAAGAATGTTTCCTTCTCTGAAAGGTCTTCTAGAATAACATAATAGATTCCTATTTTTGACATTTAGTGGGTAAAGAAGCTCGAAATACTTATCTTTTTTCTCACTATTGACAACCAAATGACTGTTGGCATAGATTGCAAGAAGCATAGTAAGGCAGAGAAGCAAAAGCCACCAGAAAGTCTTACGAAACAAAGTTTTTTTAAATGGTACAGAGACAATGATTATCTTTTCCTAATGTACCTACCCCTTTTAATTGCAAATTCTTCGCTAGTTTTATCTGTATCTGGTACAATCAGTGAAGTTCCTGAACCTGAAGAACAACAAAAAGGCAATGAGCTTTACATATGAATAGTCAATCCAAAGCAGAAACAGGTAGCTTCTTCCCAAAGCATTCCCAATCATCAGGTACTAATATTAAGACGAGTAGCCAAGTGTTCTGCATTTTATTTGCCTAGTAAAGTAAAATTTACCACAAATAAACTATCATAATCACGACATCAAGTTAGTGGCTCACTAATGCATGTAGCAAATCCGTATGCTATCATTTTTTTTCCCCTTACACTAAGAGCCTTATCATGCTACTAAAGTAGCTCATCATTATATTCTAAATTTTCAAATAATCCAGCATACATATCAAAGAGAGCCTAGGCGTGTTAATTAGAGAAAAATATTCAAATCTAGACATGGAGGTAATTTCTCAAGGCTAATCAATTTTTTTGAACCATAGACATATAAAGAGATGGTATTTTAGTTCTTTATTATAAAACAGTCAAATATTAGAAACATGAAGTCCGAAAAAGAGTACATTACAATATCACAAGTATATAAAGTCAGTAAAAGAAGTACAAATTTTGGTGCAGATATTAAGTGGAGTGAGGATTTAAGACAAATTTTGGTCCCAATTTGATGCAATGTTGTTGCGATCGTATACTAAACTACATTTGATTAGTCTTCCACGTGATTCACTTTGTTGACAGTAAAGGAACCTCTGTAACCCAATTAATTTTAAAGTGATTGATAATGTATTCTCAAATAGATCACATTTAGGAAACAACAACAAAGAATGTCTACCAGTTCAATAAACCAAAATTTTATGTGTTCAAACCTAAGGCATAAAAAGGCCTCCCTTCCACTTCAATTTTCACTTTGCAATTAAATAGGTTCAAAACAAACCAGGTTTTGTGGAGACAGTATACAACACACCAATGCAAACATGATCATATCCCAAAAATAGTAAGTCATGAGAACTTTTACCAGGGTTGAAAGGTCTGCACCTTTGTCCAACTAACATAAGATAAATTGACATGAAACTAATTGATCAGCAAATATTCCATATTCCATGTACATTTAAAATTGGTCTGAAACACAAAAGAAGAACAAACATTCGGCCAGTTCAATAGGATTCAAAAATAGAAATTTTAAAAAGGAACTATCTTGCAAAGGTCCTTATAATATGGCTCAGGTTCCACAATTCTGCTATTTCTGCTGACAATATCTCTCTATTTCTCACTCTATTTATAATTCTTCATATTCTGAAAGAGTTCAATTCAATGACTAACCGACAACAACCTAAAACAAATACAATTACATGAATTCTGCTACATTAAATAGAATTCAGCAACTCAAATATTCTCGTAAAATCCTACCTTTCCATCCAAAATCATAACCATATGTGAATATTGAGATCAAAACTTCAAATTTGTTTTAATACAAAAGATATGAAAGGGAAAAATAAAATCAGTATTACCTGTGGTAGGAGAGAGATCTTCGAAGGTATCTGGAGTAAAGCTGAGCAAATGACTACTTTTTTCTACTCCAGAATCCCCAATCAACAATAACTTGAACAAATAATCAAATTCTTACGAGGAGGGCGACGAAGACGATACCATTTCCACAAAGTTTAATTGGAACATCCATGAAAAAAATACAGATTAGGCAACCTGAAAAATAAGAAAAAGATTAAGACCAAGTGAAATTCAGTGAGCATAGACAAGATTAGATATCATTCAAGATTTCATGATGCAGTAACTATTTCCCTATTGAATGGCAAAAGCATAATCAAAAAAAATCATAATAAAAAGAGAACTACACCAAAACAAACCTTTTGGAGGATAAAATAATTCAGGAACTGCGGAGAGCCCCAGCAAAAAAGTCATTTTGATTGTCCTTGGCATTTGATGTGGTTTGGTGTCCTCTTTCTGCGCGGAGAGCTCTCAACAGAAACAAATAGCGGAAATTATGCAATTCTGGTTTCTACCCTATTAGAAAGTTCTACAATGTAAACACCAACAAAAATCAACAATAAAAAGAAGAAGAAAAGATTAGGAGTAGACTCCAAGGAAAAAGAAGCAGCAGCAATAGTACAGAAAGACCGAATTTTTTTTTCGAGTGAGTTGGTGGCACAATCCACGATAGTGGGGAGAGAAGAGGAAAAAACCCTCTGAAAAATCCGGTGAGCGACTCTTCGCAGCAATAGAATAGAGCTCAAATAGAAAGAAAAAGAAAAAGTAGAAAAATTAGTCTATATAGAACAATGTTCAAATCTTGTCTAGTACCACAATCTATGATCGATCAAGATTAGAGCCCCTTCCTCTTCTCGTTACTGCTCGTCCCCAACAGTCTTACCAGTGAAGGTTGCAAAATCGAATCTATGGACTCAATCGACAAATGTTTTGACGATAAACTTCAACAACTTTGCATGGAGGTTATGGTGATTAGTGGCGGCAATTCAATTTTGAAGGTAGTCTTTAGCGGCAGTTTGATTTTTAGCCGCAGCTATAGTTTTAGTCGCGGTGGAAGAACTGCGGTTCCAATTCGTGTCTGTAACAATTTTTTATATATAATCCTTCGGTCCCAAAAAACGGTGGAGGTATTAGCATAAATAGAGGTCTTAAAAAAGAGGGAGAAGGCTAAAAAACAAGAAGGAAAAAAGGAAAGATGAAAAGCAAGTATAATCTGTGGTCATTTTGTTTCGGGATTCAACAAAATTTCTTTTTAAAAAGAAAACATTGATACAAAAACGTCGTCGTTTTCATTGTTGGGAATAAAATAAGGGTATAAAACGACGTTGTTTTGATATCTGGAGATTTTTTTTTACCAAAAATTCAGATTTTTCTCATTCATTAATTTGAAATTGAATTTATGCATTCTCCTTTTTGCCCCCAATAAGTCGCTGACGTCATATCAAGGCCATCCGACGTACGAGATCAATTTAAAGGTGGCCCTGAATATTTCTTGGGCATTTAATTTATTGTCTACTGTGCCTTTATATTAAGTATAAGGATAAGGATAAATCTTTTTAAGCTTTGCACGTAAACTAAGGAGATAATCATCCAACAATTATGTGTTAAATATCTATTTTATCCCTCATTAATTACATTGAAACTATAAACAATACTAAATGAAAATATATTGGCATCTTTTATTGAAGGTAAAGTTGGAAAAATTACAATACTATAAGCAATACTAATTTGCCAAGGATTTGTAAAACGAACTACGTTTTGAAAAATTTATCCAAACGTTAAATGACCTACAAATTGAAATAGAGGGAGTATTCAATTTTTCACTTATTGTACTACTGTAATACTGTATCAAGTGAATAAATCTTTGATCATATTGATCTTACTAAATCCGCTGTTTCTCTTCTATTTTTTCTTTTCTTTTTTTTTCATGAGTTTAATCTTCTTCTTTTTTTCCCCTTTTCGTATCTTTTTCTTCTCTATATTAGTAGCAAATAGAACTAATACAACTTCTTTTCTTTTTTGCTATAAGAAACATTATATTAAACATTAAACACTGAAATTTATCTCCACCCGAGCCAAATAAATCCCTTCCTGGTTACATGTTTCAGTTGGAGAACAAATTAAAAAAAAAAAAAAAAGTTGAAACAATGATTTTGAACACCAAGTACATAATATATTACTACTTCCATCCCAGAAAAATAGTCCAATTTGAACAACTAAAGCATAAAAATTAGAGGACTTAATCTTTCAAATTAAAAAATTAATATGAAAAACTGAATATAGTTTGATGACTATTTATTAATTTAATAATCGATATCAGTTTATACCAATCTAATAAGTCTAATTTTAAGATTTATACATTTCTAAAATTGAGCTATTTTTTTGGGGGCAAAGGCCATATAAAAAAGAAAGGAAAGAAAAGGAAAATCAGTTTCTCAAATATTGACTTTCATGAACTATTTTAATTCAATAGCCAACACGTCGGTAACAACATATGCCACATTTAAGAGTAAGAGATTGATGATCGATTTGAGCACTATATATGCACTTAAGCCGTATCATTTTCCCCTCTGTTTTGCATTGGATGGAGTACACTGTTGAACTTTCTACCTAATACATTATTTAGATATTTTAGAACAACTTTCAATTCCTTATGTCAGCTTTGAAAGAAAATAATAAAATTACTAATTCATTTTTCACTACAAACAAAAGTTAGAAGCGGCCATGTTATGACAAATGGAAGATGTGAAGATTTCTTCAAGAGTTTTTCTTTTTTTTTCTTTTATCTTATATTCCAGTCGCAAGCTTCGTTTGAATATAACAGTTGACGTACTTTTCAAAAGCGTTGGACAAATAAAGCTTTGCCATCATAATTTGTGGTATTTAAGAAAGTGTACTTCAAACAACCATTTGTTCGTCTTCCTCTATTGAGTTGTCAACTAAAACTAGATATTTTTTCCCCCTATTGCATTAGGAATCTTTAGACTTTTTGAAGCAAATAGCTTTATGACATCGTTAATGAAGTAACACCCATTGAGATGTGAACATTGGTTATTAAACTTTTCACTAGAGCATTGGTCAACAAAAGCCTCCCTCTCCTCTCTATATATTTGTGTAGACAAACAAGAGAAAAACATCATTTCAAGTTCAAACTAAAAAAGAGAGAGATGATGAGAATCATGGTAGCATTACTTCTAGCAATTGTGGTCATGAACATGGCCTCATTAGGCCATGCCCTCCCAGACGACCAAAGTCCGGCCGCCGTAGAAAAATGGTTTACACAGTATTCCAATGCAGTGCCCAAGTTAACCAAACTCCATTTCTACCTCCACAACATCGTCAGCAAGAATCCTCCGGCAAGCGTCGCAATCGCTCGCGCAGACTCCACCGCCACGTCGCCTACGAAATTCGGCCTAGTCACCGTACTAGACGGTCCACTAGCTGACCAACCAAACTCACCGGAAGTCATTGGTTATGCACAAGGTCTCTTTACTTTGTCCTCACAGGAAGAATTGAGTACCCTTATGACTATTAATTTCGTGTTTACCGCCGGCGAGTTTAAAGGTAGCACTCTCAGTATCTTGGGGCGTAACGTGGTGGTTGCCCCGGTCAGGGAGTTCCCGATAGTTGGTGGTACCGGTGATTTCCGGATGGCACGAGGAATCGGCACGGCTACAACTAACTATGTTAATTCCACCACCGGAGATGATATTCTCGACATCCATTTCGTATTCTACCGTTTCGTTCTTCCCGGCGCCGACTCTGATTCCGAGCATAAAGATGAATTATAATTAACGTTTGATGCCATGTCTAGTTCTGCTTCGTAGTTTTGCCGTTTGTCTTTTGATATATGTTCCTTTCTAGTTCATCCCTGTAACGTTTTTGTACTGCTTGTGAAATCCATTTGCGAAATCAATAAAGTCGTAGTTTGCCTATTGGGCGCCGGTCTCCTCACAAAACGAGAACTTTCAAATTAAAGGATCGGAAAAATGAGTTATTCCACTGCTACTGAGGATCAAATTGCAAAAACTTCAGCTGTCAGATATCTCTACTAAGGAAAAATCCGGTTGGCCGGAGGTCGATCGAGCCCCTGCCCCCCCTTATATCCATCCATGGCTGGTTGTTTAATTTGTGATTTCTAGTCAACATATACCAAACTTTAAATTATTTCTTTCAATAGACTTGAATGTATTCCTTTCAGATCAGATGCAAAGTTTTCTGAAAATAATTTTATTTGTGCCCGGAGTTTGAACTCGAGACTATTTAAATCGCGCGTGAATAAGATGTGACATAGCATGGATCAAGATACACGTACATAGATACTGAAATGCTACCGAAATTAGAGCACACTACTCCCTCTAATTTAGCCAAAAAAACTGAAGTCGATTATTCTACTGATTTTTACGAGACTTTTTTCGATTAATCATTTTTCCCCGCACAGTTTCTTTGAGTTTTGAAATGTCTGCTACCTCAGTTGGCTTGTTTAGTAAGGAGAACAATCATGATTCATGAAAACTAATGTTCCTTACAAATACGAAGAAAAGTCAGCTAGTCAAAATATTGATTCTCATAAGAGTAGTACGCATGCATGTAACATGTTGTTAAGAAGATATGTAATCTTAAGAGTAAATAAGGGTGAGCACTACATACGGAAGTAGAAACTTTTTCTGTCCCCCTTGATTAAAACGGTTTTCTATGATACATACATATGGTATGCAAATCATTTGGAAGCTGGAGTGTATGTGTACATTATTTGGAACGACTTCCTGAGAAAAATAAAAAGTAACTACTAAGTTAGTTTCCTCTAAAAGAAAAAGTTAGAAGCAATGATATATAAGGCAAAGAGATGTAGGGATTTGGTGAAGATTTTCGTTTTCCTACATAGTCATTTTTTAAACCTTTTCTAACAACCATTACCGACTATTTTAAAATCCACTAACAATTCACTATATATTTTGCGTATAATATAGTAAAAAGTCATTTTCAAAAGCAGTAGCAAGTAAAACTTCTCCATCATCATGTGGTAATAAAGTAAGATCTTGCTTTTGTTTTTTGAACTTTCATTTGAATCTTTAAACTTTTTCCACTATGTTTGCTTTGTCATAATGTTAATTTATTCAACTGAACGTGATCCTTAGTCTTTAAAGTTTCTACTGGAACTAGTGTTCGTCACTGCATATGGAACCTTCCTCTCTTTCACATTCATTTTTTCTCTATATATTTGTAAATGCTTTCTAGATTCCATCCACAAACAAGAGGAAGATCATTTGCAAGTTCTATCAAACCGAGAAATGATGAGAATCAGGGTTGCATTGCTTCTGGCATTTGTGATCATGAACCTGGCCTCATTCGGTCATGCCCTACTGCGCGACCAAAATTCAGCTGCCACAGAAAAATGGTTCACACGTACTATTCGCAATTCAGTACCCAAATGATCACAACTTCACTTCTATCTTCACAACATTGTCAGAAAGAACCCTCCGGGGAGTGTCCCGGTTGCTCAAGCGGGCTCCACTACACGTCACCTACGAAATTGGGTCTAGTCAAGACGGTCCATTAAATAACCCACAAAACTCACTGGAAGTCGCTTAAGGTCTCTTTGCTTTGTCGAACAGGAAGAATTGAGTACCCTCACTCTGAGAACGAGTATACAAAGATAAATTATGAGCATCTGATGCCATGTCTAGCCCGACTTTCGTAGCTTTACGTTTAAATTCAGGATTTTCCATTTTTATTCCATCCTTTCAAGATCATTTTACTCGTTAACTGTGGTGGAGCTAGGAAGGACGGGTACGGTCACCTGCTCAATTTTTTCTAATTAATATAGATATCCTAATAAAAAACTATGTATTGTAGTATAGTTTTTCGTACCCTTACAATGATTTCCTGGTCATTAGTAGTTTTTTTTCCTAAATTTCACATCCCCTGACAATAAATTTGTGATTTTGCATTTGGTACGTTTGGCCTGTACTTGTGATCTCTTGTTAGTGTCCTAGTATTGTAAATATTACCAACTGTTAGCATATTGGAAAAAGGAAATATATATATATATATATATATATATATATATATATATATATACTAGATGTTACCCGCACGATGTGCCGGGTTAGAATAAGTATTTTTATGAAAAATTTTGTAAAACTTTACTAATAGCTTGAAAAGAAATTAATCTAATTAAAAAAAACGCATTAAATTTTGAAAGCAATCAAAAGTCCTTTAAACTCAAACATGTAAAGAAAAAGAAATTAATTATTATATATATCATTGCATCAAATGAGGTTGGGCCGACATAAAACGAAAAAGGATTGTTGTGTAGTTTAAAAATCTCTCTAGTTTCTCTATTAATATAATAAATTATAGATATAAAATATTATGTTATAAAAATGATTTTTTCTTATTTATAAAACTCAACATCATTGAATTAGAATATAAATTGATTAGTTTATGTTTCATATTGAGATTGAATTCCAAAATTTTTTTTTTTTTTTGTGTGTGTTAAAAATGACGTAAAAGTAAGAACTATATTTAGACTCTATGAAACTAATTAAGTTTTATTTATTAATATGTTTTTAAAATTCGTTATTAAATTTTTGTACCATTAATTCAACAAAATAAATATAAAAAATAAAATGATACCTGAACCGAATTTATACTCTGAACAACTGTTTTGAAATAGGTAAACCCACAATAATCAATTCTTGTTATTATACCTAACCCCATAATAAACCATGAACAAACGAAACGTCCCCTTACTCTATAACCTTAATAAATGGCAGAATATGAGTAACTAAAAATGAGAAGTTTTGTTACATCCTCCCATACCTAGCAAGCAAATCATAATCAACCGTTAATGCTCCAAATCTACCTTAAGGGAAAAAAAATATTCAAAAGCATGCATATAATAAGCATAATCTTTTTTACCTTAAATAGCTTTTCCATTTCACTTTAAATTTCCGGTGGTTGCGTGTGAGGTTTGCTATATTTATGTAAATTCTATCACGCATTTTTCAGAATTAATTGACTGGGGCAATTGACCAACATTTACGGGTTGGACCAGTAGTGAACAAAATTAACCACAGGAATACAAATTATTGGTGGAGCATCTAAGTTATCCAGGAATACAGATTGAGTTTTGAAAAAAATTAATATCTTCCCATTAATATTAATAGTAGTTCGTATAGGAAGGAATTAATTGGAGCATTGTTCTCGGCCATCTACATATGGGTTTTTATGATTATTAGTAGCTTATAAATCAATCCTATCACAATTACACCCTGATTGGATATTTTTTTTATTTAATTACAGAATAATATGGTATCTTTATTACTTTTTTTTTTTTTGAAAACGAACTTCATTAAATTTAATTTATCATGTAATGTGATAAGCTTTAAACTTTAGCTACCTGATGTATGCCAATGATGATCTAGGGCTGATATTTTAAAATTATGTAGCTGCATATATGTTGATCATTTACCTCAATCATATCCTGATCAGGCACATTTATTTTTTTAAAAAAAAAGACTTTCGAATGCTATTGTTAATTAATACCCGTAAATAATAATCAAGTGATCAATTATTTTAATATAATGTAAATTTTGAAGGCTTAGTGATAATTTCCATTAGTGATTTTTGAAAAATGTGTTAAAAAAATGACACATGTGATTTTTGTCAATGTGGCAGTTTAGAAATTAAGTTGTGGGATGCCAAATACACAATGTGTTCTTATACTTTTTTTGGCATTTTGTTCTTATCTTTTTGTTATAATTTTGACATGTCAAAATACCATCCATGTAAGTGGAATTTATGTCACAGATATCGTGGTTTTAACCGACTACAAATAAGTACATATAACCATTGATGTCTATCATGGTATTTTTAGAGGCTAGTATAAACCTTCTACGTTTCACAACACCTATCTCAAAAGAACTATTCATGAAAAAAAAACAATATTACATAATGTACATGTGTTCACAGTAACTAAATATAATTTTCTAATTTAAAGTTCTCATGGTTGTACATAGAATTTGAAAAGATAATGTTACATATCTAGATATATCTAATACAATGACAACTTTCACCTTGTTGGATTGAAGTTCAACTGAAGCATGTGCCATCATTCGAAGCGGAAAATTGGGAGAACATACAAAAGATTCTTTCTTAATTGTTAAGGGTTTCTCTTCTTTGCCTTGACTTACTCAGGCTCATTAGGACCAAATCATCCACTCCACGCTTTGGTGCTTACCATGGTTGCTTGGGGCAATGGTGATAGTCTTTCAGAGATGATAGCACTTTCCGAAAACCCCAAAATCTACCCACTGAAATATTAATTAGATACAAAAATTGATTCAAAATTATCATAAATTAATAACATCTTCCTTTTTTTAATGACAATATTTAGGTAACACAATATACAAAAAGCCCTATTTAAGTCAAAATCTGTCAATCGTAAAAAGATTAGAGGGTGACCAAAAATCAAAGAATTAATTGTAACAAAAACCCTACGCAAATTTACAAAATAAAGAATAGTAATAAAATTTACACCCGAATTTGTCACCCCGGGCATGCCTAGGGTGATTTACCTCCCACTGTGGTTTGCAAGCTATTGCAGTGGGCGTGGGTTTACCCATCTCTGGTGGGGTTCCCAGCGTTATAAAAAAAAATCTACGCAAATTTACAAAATAAAGAATAGTAATAAACTTTTATTTTTGTTCTGTAGTTAAAAATCATAGTAACGAATTGGGTGGAAATGGTGTTCTTCACGCCGATTTTGTTGTTTAAAAAAAAAGAAAAGATGAAGAAGAAGAAGAAGAGAGAAAGAAACGAAAACAAAAAACAAAAAATAAAAAATAAAAGACAAATTCATGTTTTTCCTTACTTCGTCATGGTCACCCCATTTTCGAACCTGCAATGTAAAAAGAGAACATTTTGATTAAAAAAAATCAGGATTCAATTTCAGAGATTAAACCTACCCGTACTTCATTAATCAAGAATTGAAAATGTTCTTGGGGTAGAATTAGGCCTCATGTTGCAGCTGTGAATATGAATGCAATTACTATTTATGAGATTTATATATATAAAAGAGGTGACACATGAAAATTTAATATGGAGAGCGGTAATTCAAATAAGTTGACCTTTTGGGAAAAAATAATTATGATTATCACCACGATTGTCTCCCTGATAAGACTTATATTTCGGTCATTGATTTTATTAGACTATATTATTTACTGCAGATAGAATTTATTGTCTACGAAAAAAATTCAAAATGAAATTCCAATCATTCCATGATTTTGGGGAGAGTTAGTGTCTCTTTAATTTTCATTGATGATTTTAATGATAAGATAAGAAAAGAAATCAATTCTACCCGAAAGTTGTGGCTGGGTGTTTTATATAAATTTAAGGACTATTTAACAATTACAGAAAGTATTTTTGTTGAAATGCATTAGAAAATTGTCACATAGGATTTTATTCTATGTGGCACCTTTAGAATTCTTTTTTATTTTCTCTATCTGATTTCTCTCTTAGTATAATACTATAGATAGATACTATAGATATATAGCAAATGAAGTGGTAATCTTCAAAATGCTGTATGTTTGGTTAAGGTAAATTTCAGTCCCTTAATTACCCAAAAAAAACACACACACACACGTACACACACACAAGATCATACTTTTTGAAGAGTTATAGTTTTAGACTAGATGTTAAACCCGCGATGCGCAGGGTTTATTTATATACGTTATAAAAAATCAACAAAAAAAATATAAAAAGTGTAAAATGTATTTCGAGTTCACATTAAGATACATTACACAACTAAAATTAAATAAAGGCATAATTGTAAAGATAAAATAATGCTTATCATTTGAAATGCAAGTGTGCACTTGATTTTTATTGAAGGAGAAGAACTGGACAATAACACTCATAAGCAGAGTAAAATAACTAAGATTGTATTAATGTTACATATTGAATGAAAAGATAAAATGATTGTACGCGTAAAATACATAATGAAATAATTATCAATAGTAGATGGTAGATTATGTGTGACTGAAGTGTGAATTTTAAAATTTTTTTTAGTATTTTGTTGTAATTAAAGATTCTATGGTACTGTTTGGCCCAATACTTAATATTTTAGAGCAACAAACCAACTGTAGAGTTAAAATTTTTTTCCATTAATCCATTTTTGCTATGACAATAGAAAATAATAATTAATGAAATAATGAAATTATGGGTAAAAAAACATAAATTTAGTAACGTCTAAAAAAGAACTCTAAAATATCATTTTGCAGAAGAATATACAGAAAAATCATATATAACCTTAATTAACAATTACATCCCATGCCACACGATCGACCCACTATAAATGGAGATAAATTGGGATTGATGATAGTTGATTATCCAAAATTTCAGTGATAAAGATAAAGTTTATAACAATTTTTGAGATATTATTAAGGAAAAATTATATTTATTGGGGTAGATATGATATTACACAAATAAATGCATTGGTTTGAAATTCAAAAGATAACATTTAATTATAGTTAAATCGCATCCTTTTAGTAATAATTGAAGGCAAATTTTGTACCTTTTTTTTTCTTTTTTATTGACGAAAAATACAGGGTCATGTTTTTTAGAGAAGATTTTAAAGATAACATTAATGTTGAATGATTAGTTTTTTTTTTTTTTTTTTGAATTGTAGTCTATTGATTTACATGATTGGGAGAGAGATTTTTTTTTAGAGAGATTAATTAAATGAGTCCAGTAGTAACTTTGGAGATTCTTTTGGGAAGAGAATAATTCTGGTGCATTAATGTTCATTAATCCCGTCCATTAAATTTAATTAATTTTTATTTTTCTATTTTAAACTATAGTTTTAAATGCCATTTGATAAAACTTTATTTACATAAAATTTGAAGGACTATTTGTATAATTGTTGCAAATATTTTTTGACTCAACCATTAGAAAAATGACACATATAATTTTATCATATGTAGCACCTTTAGAATTCTTTTTTGTTTTCTCTTCCTGATTTCTCTCTTAGTATAATAATATAGATTATTGAGAATTGTCCAACTACATGATGGTAGACAAATAAACGTAGCCACGTAGGTGTTTGAGATCACGATTTAAACGTACTCACACTATTCTTAACAGAAGCAATCTCGTCAGCGACAAGATTTTCTAATCCTACTAATCCAGAAAGCTTAGTTCATGTTGTGTTTTTGTACTTTAATTCGATATCTCGCAAACATGTCGATTTCTTACGTCTCCCTCCCTAATCTTCAACATTTGCCTTCTGGTGATGGTTTTCTTACATATGTCTGCTTTTATCGATCAAGTAACAATAATAATGGTTAAGATCCGATCCAATTGAACCTTACAAAAAAACAATTTGGTACAAGTTCCAAATTCTACTAATAATCTCTAATTTATATCATAGTTAAGTATCACGAAATACATAAGTCCCAAGAATTATTGTCATGTTGAAGTGATCCACCGCTTAAATCCGAATTAGTCGTAACAGTAATCTAGGATACCACCAAAAAATAAAATAAAATTTAAAGTGATCAGCCAGCTAATTCATCCCTTGACACATACGAACCTTCGGAAAGAAACTATATCCACATTGCATCAGTACAGCTAGTAAGGACTAAATTTACTCAAAACAAACAAATAATTATATATGCCTTTGTAATAAGTCAACTTAGACATCAAATTGACAACTTGTTCTTACTTTTTTATGTTATTAATCACATAGCTTAGCAAAGAATTCGTGGCCAACTTGCTTGATCTTTCATTTCTAAAATTCCATTCATCTCTTTATGTATCTACTACTCATCAACAAACTCCCTATATATACGTGCATGCATTCTTCATTACTCCCACCCCACAAACAAGAACACTATTGCACAAAATTTTGAAATTCCTTTGATCGATCAAACAAGATGAAATTGGTCGCAATCTTGCTTCTTTCAATTGTGACCATGCATATGGCCTCACTAGGTCATGGCCTTCCTGACGACCAAAGCCCTGAAGCTGTGGCAAACTGGCTCCAACAGTTTCCCCATGCAAGACCTCAGTTCACAACACTTCACTTCTACCTTAACAACATCCTCAAAAAGGATCCTCCGGCGAGTACCCCGGTTGCCAAGGCCAACACGACCGACTCCACGCCAGTTACAAGCTTCGGTTTAGTGAGAGCAATAGATGCTCCACTAACCAACCAATCATTGACCGACAACCCAGAGGCAAAGGTTATCGGTTATTGTCAAGGGCTCTACACATTTGCCTCGCAAGAAGAAAGGGCTACCCTCATGACCCTTAACTTCGTCTTTACCGACGGTCAGTTCAATGGTAGCACTCTTAGCATCTTTGGGCGTAATTTAGTGACTGCTAAGTACCGGGAGTTTTCAATCATCGGCGGGTCCGGTGATCTCCGGATGGCACAAGGTCTTGGTACCGCTAGCACTTATTTTCGTGATCCCGTCATCGGAGATATTCTCGAGATGAGTTTCGCGTTCTACCGTTACACTCTCCCTGGTCCACCTAATTGAAAAAGAATAATGATAGGTACAAGGATTAGAAGGAAAAATGACAAAGAAATGATCTCACCCATCCATTTTAAAAACTTTCCATACAAGGTTTAAGCATTTAAGGTTAAGGTCTAGTTTAGATTTTTAACACATCATTCTTTGTAAATTTTCCTTGTCATTTTTTCCCTGTACGTATCACTGCTCATTGAAAAATATACACATGCAACGCATGATTCTGATGGATGAACAATGGACTACTCAAGAAATCATCCATATATTTGATGCCATTTCAGTTGTCTGTTCCGTTCGTTCAACATTTTCCTTTTTGGATAATGTTCCCTTTTATGATGTTTCAATATCCTATACTAAGGTTATTGTACTACTGTATAACTGTTTCATGTGAAATCAATAAAGCTGAGATATGGGAAGAATATTAAGATATTACAATTAATCAAAGTTTTACAAATTGTATGTATACCTAAGGAAGGTAATGCACTTTCAAATATTTCTTTTGCATACACTTATCTTCTGCGCTGCGTGGAATTTTTGTATCGATCAGAGATCTTTCTCTCGCTTACGAGTTTGCAAGTAGAAACTTAGGACTACAGTGTTACTTTTATGCATGTCGTCTGTTTATATGTGCATTTGAGTCAATTTAAGCACTGTGTTCTTTCTTTTATTTTTTTCCTAAACTTTTTCCATAATTAATAAAATGGGTATGCCTTCCTGGATTTGATCCAAACCAGACCTGGTTTTCCATATCAGCTGAGTAATTTAAATTCTGGATTGGCTCAAACCTTTTTATTCCCTTGGCTAACTGATCTTTAGCTATCCGAAACCCATGACTGAACTTTCTTTTTCAAGTTTTACCTTCAAAATTATTATCCACTTTAAATTTTTAATTTTAATTCGATTTCTAATGAAACTAAAAATTCAAATTAGACAATAATTTAAAACGGATGGCGTATGTTTTAACATTCAATCAATGAAATTCGACTAGATCCGAACATCCCGCAGGCAGCTTATAAACTTATTTTGCATAAGAACCAATTTAAAATTGCTTCATGAATCTCATTCTCAGGTCAGAGCAAAAATTCATTTCCAGGAATCTTGAGGTAAACAACCATTGAACTCACTTAATTTTTTGTTTTCTTTCTTTTGGTCATCCACCTTCTTTCAATGATCACTCGTCTTTATGTCTCAGATGGCCTAGTTTTATTTTCATTAATTCCATAACTTGATGGTATATTATACGAGGCTGCAAATGGATAAACACACAGCTGGCGGAGTGCGGACGAGTTCACATCATTCAATCTAAGTTTTTAAAATAATATTCTTCAAGAATATCACTACTCTTAAAATTATAAACCTGTAAAATCACGAAATTCACTAAAAGAACTCTTCATAGAAGAATGAATCATTATATATATTAAAGAAAAGAAAGATAGTCGACACATGACGCTCATTGAGACCATCAAGTCTCAATTAACACGTATCATTTGATAATTGGTTGATCTTTAATCGGTTAAAATTTTTTATAAACAGTTAATAAATTATTTACTACTCTCTCCTTCCCACATAATAAAAAATAGTCCAGTTTAACAAAAGTTAAAATTCATTGAATTGAAATAACTTAAATATCCAAAAGAGTAGTGGTATAAAAAACATGGTCCAGTTCCTTTTATTTCCATTTTTTTTAGTTTTCTCTTATTTTTTCAAATGATTATATCTTTTAATATATGAATAATTAAAAAATGTGTTATATATCAAATTAATCTACGTAACGAGATCTTTCCATCAAGATCCATTGTCAATATTTTTTGAGATAAAAATTTTTGATCAAATTTAAGTTGTAACATAAATGAATATGTAGTTAACTTTCATAGAAATAACTAGAAGGGGCATTAGTGGAAGTTAGGGGAATGAAATGAGTTGTACATTTGGTGTATTGACCAAATTAAAAAAGTTGTACAGTTTCAAACTAGACTATTTTTGTGGGACGGAGGGAGTAAATAAGATTTTTACAGATATTACAAATTCCTGATTGTGAGCTTGAAAATGAATATTTTTGAAAATTGCTGAGAAACTCCCGACTTCAAAAGTCCTTTCATTTACGAGTTTAAAATTTCAACCTATTGTCATTTTGGCCCTTAAAGTTCCATTTGTGTAATATTTAGTTTTCAAGTTTATCGATTTTACATTTTCAAGGACGATTAATTGTGTCTCATATTTTATTAGAACTACATCTATCCCCAAAGTCCACTTGCCTATAAAAATAAGCCATACGCATCTAGACATAATTTACGTATTTTTTAAATATATTTTTTAAACCAAACATAACGTTAGTTAGTGATGACAATTTTTATTATATAATTTTTGAAAATCTTTGTTGTAATATTTTTTTACCAGATCTTCCAAATATACCTCTCATTTTGATTTAAAACTGATTAATCAAAAAAATATTACAGTTTAAGAAATATTAGTAACTACATTTTTTTAAGAGAATAAGGACGGTATATTTGTAACTACATTATCTAATCAATTCTTTTGAAATATAAATTTTCAACATTGACAAATCCCCGCAAAGCACGGGACATACACTAATATTAAATGATTAAAAAATTAGAATAACATATCAATTTCTTTTTCCCCCGTAAATTGAAGTTTCTAGTAATATATAGTATGTTAAGCACTCAAAGTATTAATAAAGAAAAAAAAAATAAAACGAAGGATGCCTTAAATTAATCTTGTATCTCCTCAAATGATATGCCAATTTGTTCAATATATTTCCATGAAACACTCAGTTTATCGCACACGAAAAGACTATTGGAAAAAAAAAAATTAATAATAATTAAATTGGGAAGATTTGGTCCGTTCGCTTCTTGGTCAAACTTCCAAATCGCATAAAGTTTCATGCATTGTGCTCAGTTCTACTTATGTGGTCACGAAATATATCGTAGGAATCAATCATGGTCACGCCGGATGGGACATGGGAGAGGCTTACCATTGAAATGTCATTGAATTGCCTTACAGAAAAATTACATAGGTAATATATATGTTCTTTTTCAACAAAAGAAAATTTAATTTCACAAATAAGGTTTTACTACTTTTTTTGTTCCAAATAATTATTTAGTTTGAATTTTCACTTTTAGAACAGTACAAATTAAAAATAGAAAATTCAAAGTAGACAATTATTTGTAGATGGAGGAAATATATATTTTTGGCACGTAATCAACTACTCACGGATAATTGATGGACCGTCTTCATTTTATTTTAACCTTTGGAGCTAGGAAGTGTCGAAAGTGACCGTTGAACATTAATTAGTTATTAAAAACAATACATTAACTGATTAACATGCTTAAGAAAAAGAATTGTTACGCCAGTTTGAAACATTTGATTAGTTAGTTTACTGCAAAATAATAAATGAAAGCAATCTCGAGGAAAAATTGAATCAGTAACTTGATTTCAGCACTGACTTCAAAGAGATCAAAACTGCATCCACATTGAATCCGCACGACAATTAATCAAAACAAACAACAACAATATTGTATATTTTCCCTTCTACTCCTATTTAGTCAACTCATTCTGGATCTGGATAATTTAGCTAGGCATCAAAACTAAATCAACAACTTTCGTCCTAATTCTTTATTAATCCATACGTTTCTTACAAGAAAACAAAAAAGACTTCCCCCAGCGCCCTATATATACAAGTGAATTATTGTATCAATTACTACTCACTCTCACCCTACACACAAAAGAAATTAAAGATCTTACATACAGTTTAGTTCATAGCTTAAAAAATGATGAAAATGGTAGCATTGGTTTTTGCAATTGTTATCATGACCATGGCTTCATTGGGCAATGGCCTTCCTGATGACCAAAGCCCTGAAGCTGCGGCAAAATGGGTCCAACAGTTTCCTAATGCACAACCTCGCTTCACAAGGCTTCACTTCTACCTTAACAACATCCTCAACAAGGACCCTCCGGCGAGTACTCCGGTTGCGAAGGCCAACACAACCGACTCCACGCCGGAGACGAGCTACGGTTTGGTCCGAGTCATAGATGCTCAACTGACCGAACAATCATTAAGCGACTCACCCGGCGCGAAGGTCATCGGTCGGTGTCAGGGGCTCTATACATTTGCCGCGCAGGAAGAAAGGGCAACCCTTATGACCCTTAACTTCGTCTTCACCGCCGGCGAGTTCAACGGCAGCACTCTCAGCATCTTTGGGCGTAATTTGGTGACCGCCAAGTACCGAGAGTTCTCGGTCATCGGCGGATCCGGCGATCTCCGGATGGCGAATGGCCTCGGGACGGCCAGCACTTACTATCGTGATCCCGTCTTCGGAGATATTCTCGAAATGAGTTTGGCATTCTACCGTTACACTCTTCATCGTAGTGGTGACCATTCTAGTTCTATTTAAGTAGGCACTAGGCAGCTTTTGGATGATTCTGAAGGATGATGAACAATGTAGGATTAGCCCTAAAATCATCCATTACTTTGTGCCAATTAGTGTTAGTTTGTTACATTTTCTGTGATTTCCTTTTGGTTTTATGTTGCTTCCTCATGGTGTTTCAATAACCTATTTCGAGTTGTTGTACTGCGTGCTTAATGTTTATTGTGACCTCAATAAAGCTTTTGATAATAATATGGCAATGGAGAGATCTTATATGCATTTGCTTCTTTTAGTTTTTTTCTTTCTTTCTTATCTCCCGAAGCTTTTTTTTTCAACATTTTTCTTTAGCGGTTTTTCAATATTCAAAAAAGATCTTGAACATCGTTACTCAACTATTTTCGGCTGGCTTCATGATACTCTCTCCCTTTCAAAATAAGTGTCATTTTACATATTGCACTTAATTTAAGAAATACTTAAATGAGAGATAAATTTTTTTCTCAATCAACCTCATTAAAATAAATGTTTGCTAATAATATTAGTTCTTTTGACTGTAAATTTAGAAATTTTAGATAAAACGGTGGATTGGAATAAAAAAAAATGGCACTTTTTTTAGAATTTTTTTTATTTTACTAAACCGACACTTATTTTGAAATGGAAGGAGTATATAATTGATGCCAGAGTTTGTGTTTGTTGTATTTTTTGTTAGGCCAGGAATCCACATGTTACTCGATATTTTTCATTGAAAAAAAAAAGTTCAGATTGAATTTTGAGTTTAAGATTTGAGTCCTGATAGACTCAACGAATTATTTTTAACTACCCTTCACGAATCTGACGTGGACAAGAGATTCGGCGCACCTTGTTGCCCCACTTAATATGTTATTTCATTTCTCTCATTTCATTCTTCTTTTCTTTATTTATTTTTTTTAAATATAATAAAAACCCCCAATCGACGACTTCACTCCCTTCCTTTTGCCCTGAAGCTAAAATGCTAAAACCAAAAGTATCACCTTCCTCTCCTCCTTGTATGTTTCGATCCGTTTGATTCAGAAGCATTGCATATCAAGGGATTTTTTGGCCATCTGATATGTCCTACTTCTACTTAATGGTCGAAATATATCTGCACCATGACCATCCGTTGCTAGATGCTCTTAATATCCCATTATAATTGTGGAACGGTAAAATTTGATCATCACATCATGGTAAAAGATGACCAACGTTTTCTTCTTGATGGAATACATTCTATTTGTTGAAGAAAAGATAATTTGATCTTATATTTTTATTTCTTTTGGAATTAGTTTTTGATAGAAAAATAAATATACATACCTAGAAACTGAATTTGTAGAAAAAGAAAATACAAAAAATAAGATCTGCAAGTCTGCTAATAATAAGAATTGTCTAAGATTTTGAAGAAGAAACAGAGCTGGAAGTGGAGATGGAGTCCCTTTAAGACATGTAAGACCGAAGGGATGATAAATAATGGAGTCTTTTTTAGATGGACATATTTCCTATTAGAAAAATAAAAGAAAATGAAGTGAGAGAAAACAGAAAAGCAAATACCATGGGACAGGGGATGGGGGACAGCTAGTTGGCCCAGTTATCTCTCCACATCAAATTCGTGAAAAATTGTTAAAAGTAATTCGTTGAAACAAACATTTTCCTTAAGATTTATAATAAATAAGCCTCTTTTTTTCTTTTTCTTTTTTTTGAAACAAAAAGATTTTTTCCTTTTTATAGGAGAATCATGAGGTAATTTGATTAGCCCGAATAAGTTAGTTTGATTATAATCCATAGCTGGACGGCTTTCACAATGTAGTTATGCGTTTATCTTCTTTATCGTAACAAAAGAAAATCAACCCAACCCAACCGTTGAAAATTTGACCAACTGTTTGCGCATATCTCTATACCCGGAATTTGAGATACTACCTCCACCTCACGTGCCATTCTTCGCAAATTCGACTAGTGTATTAAATTTGACAGAGGTAGGAGCATATAGATAAAGTAAATTAATTGTATCTCATTTTCATTTGTTTGTTTTTGTTATTTAACAACCTTTGGAATGATAAACTCCATCTCCTCAAAGCAAAAGACTAAAAGATCCTTGTATGAAAGGTTGACACCTATATTCAATAACTAATTTCATACCAATATGATAAATTTCCTTTTAGTAATTTACTAAGTTCAGATATCAATACATTGGGTCTTGCTGAAAATGGAGAAGTATGTTCTTTCCGGAATGAAATTCTTAGAACAAAGTTGACGGGTGTTTTTTTTTTTTTTCTTTCCCGCTTATTCAAAGGGCTCTTTGGGAAATGGCACGTTTGTGTTATCAACTCCAACTTGAAAAAGGTAAATGCTTTTCCTTCTTCAGTTTTCAAACTAATGAATTTTTTTGTTAATCTATGAGAGAACCATTACAACGTGGGTTCTTGAAGAGATTCCTGGATGAATCTAATTCAACAATGATACAGACATTAATTGGTAATGTAATTATAGGTTGGTGGTACGTTTTTAATTCTGGACCTTTTAGAAATTTAGAGACCGAATTCAGAATTCTGTTTAAAGTGGGATGAGGAGCCAGCTATGGATGTATTAAAAACAAGGCTACTGGCTCTTTTATTAATACCACAATAAAATTAAAATAATGATAATGGCAATGAAGAATTTCAGTGACTTTGTGTTGGTTAAATTGTTTTTTTACTGCAAAGATTTAGTTAGAGGAATAAACTTTTAGTTAGGATTGAGATTTATTTAGATTATTTTGGTCAAATTGATTTTAGAGATTTTTTAGTATTTGAGCGTAGAGCTTTAGAGATATTTTAAGAATTTAAGAGTTATTCTCTTTTTTTGGTTAATGTAGAATTGTCTCTAAATTAGTTAGACCAAATAAAATACAACACTCTTCTTATTAAATTTTACTTTCTTAAAAATCTCTGTTTTTTTTTTCTCTGTTTCCCAACACTTTGGCACAACAACTAATGTATGGTTCAATATTCATTTGTTTTCTTTTATTTTTTTTTAACAATTGAATACGTCCACTAAGAATTCGAGGTATTAACCTCTTGGTAATATTTACATTCTACTCCCTCCATTCACAAATAGATGTTGCTGGAGAGATTTCACAAAGTTTAAGGAGGCAATAATTATCTTGTTAAAATACTATAATACCCTTATTTATTCTTAATTCAATTGTAGTCCCAATAAAATTCACTTCTAATACAATTCTATATTAAATATCACAACAATTTCCAATGTAAGGGTGATATTAGAAAAAATTGACAAAATATGCCTCGATTTGTGAGAACGACATCTATTTTGAAATATTTGAGTTTTCCTCCAACGACATCTATTTGTTAATGGAGGGAGTAACTCTTAATCACCCCATCCAGCCATCCCATCCTATTTAATATTCACTGGTTACATTAAAGATATATTTATCGTATGAATGACCAATAAAACTTAAATGCATATATCAGGCATTATGAAAATATTATTACAATCACAAGTGAACTTACATGCCATTTCAAATCAAATATATATACTCAGAAGAAAATTTTCCCAATATTATTAAGTAGATTCATTTACAAGTTACCACATTATCTCAAACATTACGATCTATTTTCACAAAATTTTCATTATATTTTATTATTATGTAATAATTTTCATATAATAAGAAATATTTTTTAAGAAAATATCTACTGTTAAACAATTAAAACATTAGTGCTGACCGAAGGAGCAACCATAAATATTTATAGACTCTAGGGATCCATTGGTAATAAAGTCAATCTTTAGAGGAGGTTTGATTCGTCCTTAGAGAAAAGATGGGAAAATAGCGGAAAATTAGAACTACTAAAAAATAACACGATTTATTCCAGTTTTCACTTCAGCTCCTGTGCCGCCTTCTTCCGCCCACCGGAACTCCGTCTGAAACAAACTCTGACATTGTTAGTTTCTGAAGTTCTACGAAAGCACGCCATTGAAGAAGGGTAAAAGTGGAAGTAAGATGAAGTACCGGTACGCTATGGTTTGTTCCTCCAATCAGAATCGGAGTATGGAATCTCACGCCCTGCTCAAAAGAGAGGGCTTCGATGTCTCCTCGTACGGCACTGGTCAGCACGTTAAGCTCCCTGGTCCTTCTCTTAGAGAACCAAATGTATACGACTTCGGCACCCCTTACAAACAGATGTTCGAGGAGCTTCGCCGGAAAGACCCGGAATTGTACGTAATCTTTCTCTCAATTTTACATCATTTTTTTTTGTTAAATTTGTTGTTTCTGTGATTACTTAGTGTTAATTCGTTCCTAATTGAAAAGGGTTATGGGTTTTCTTCCCTTTTTCAATTGGGGTCATGGTGAAAACGTGAGCCCTGATTTTAGTTCTTGCTGTGATTTTGATTAATTATGATTAGTGAAAGTTTCTTTTTCCCCCTTTGTGTGCACGCTCAATGAAGAGAGTTAGTTTTGTTGAATGCTTTCCCAACTATTGGGTCTTCATTGTTAATGTGATTTTGAATTATATTGATTAATTACTGCAGGTATAAGAGGAATGGGATATTGCCAATGCTTAAGAGGAACTTGGGTGTGAAAACTGCACCTCAACGGTGGCAAGAAAATGCGGCTGATGGTTCATTCGACATTGTGCTCACATTTGAGGAAAAAGTTTTTGACATGGTCCTTGAAGGTTGACATTTTTTCTTTATATCTTTTCTTTGTTCTTTTTTTTTTCATGTTTGTGAACTGGTATATTCTCTTTTAAATGTATATCCAGTATGATACCGTTAGTGTCTTACGTGTAGTACTGAAGGTTTTTTTTCACTCTGTTTGGAGGACAAATTGTGTTTCTCTGTTGTTCATTCAAGCATAGCTTAAAGAGAGTTGGAGATTTGTACAAGATTTTATCAGTAATGCGATCATTAGCTTCAGTAATGTATAAAATGATATGCCTTTTGACCTTCCTGTTCTGATTACTTTGAATGATTTATTTGTTGGAACTTATAATTTGGAGCTTTCGGTCCTTTGTAGTAACTAAGTTTAAATTATATTGATAACTGAGATCTACTACCAAGTAAATTGTTAATATTTTTTTATATTTTGTGATACTCGTGTGCAAATGACATTCGTGGTTGTGATTTCTCCCGTCCCTCTATGTAGTTTAATTTTAATTTTGGACTCTGTTGTGCATTTTCTTCTTAATTTCAGATCTCCATAATAGAAGACATGCCTTTATGCGACCTGTTTTAGTGATCAATCTGGAAGTAAAGGATAATCATGAGGAGGCAGCAGTTGGGGCAAGGCAAGCTCTACTGTTATGCCAGGATGTAAGATTCTGCAACTACGGTTACCTTTTACTGTTTGGAGGACCTTTTTTGTGTTACTTCAAAATGAGCTATTCCTGATTGGTTCGCTCTCTGTATATGATATGTGAGAAACATTTAACTTTGACAACCTACCACCATCCATTGTTGTGATTAAGTGCAGCATGCGATTTTCTTGAAACTGTGTGTTGTCATCTATTTTGCTGGAGTCACCTTTAACTTTCTCACCAATTACAAAGTGATAAGGGAAGCCTAAGATGTCTAGAACTCTGGCACATGCTTTTCTAATCTTCCCTGTATCCCTTTCTTTTTTTTCCTCATTATTATTATGGTGACTACGAGTAAAACTAGTTGCTTTTTGTTTCATTTCCTGTACATTTTCTTATTTTGTTGCTCATAACTGTTATGAAGCTTCAATGAAGTTATGATCCTCTCTACTCGGTGGATTGGGGTTGGTTAAGGGGTAATGTTGTGATCAGTGCTTCAAATATTTTGAGCGCAAGACCCTGAAGTTGGAAGCTACCCGTTTTTAGCTTTATACTTCTCCATTATCTCTGTCCCCTGAACATATACACGCTTTTGAACATTCACGCTTTTGAACAGTTTTGATAATATAATTACTATTTGCATTGGAAGACTTGATTTAGGCTACCATTTACAAAACAAATAGAAGACAGACTTGCACTCTACCCTGTCTATGCCTCTTAATGATATCTAACTTTCTTTGCTTGACTATTTCTTATACCAGTGTAAAGGTCACTGGTTTCTTGAATTAAGTTTATACTGCATACCAAGCTCTACAAATTGAAGTTCTATGTTTGATTCATGCTCCTGATTGTGTTGCACACTTGTATTTGGAATAATCTGGATATCAGGCATTAAGGTTAATGCCATAAATTTTATATTGTGATTACTGTATGAGTTTATGAAAGATTCTAAATTTGTAGAGCTAGTTTCTGTAATCTGTCGAATCTTGTCACTTTTTAGGCGCCTACAATTTGTTTTCATCCGGTGGTTTAGTTTTTTCTTCCTCTGTGGCAATTTGTTATCATTGATCCTACACTATGTCAATGTACACATTTATAGCAGTGGTATAAGTAGTGATGTGTTGGTTCTGTTTGTGTGTTTACAAGTTGGTAGTAGTTGCTGTTTGAACTTGGTTTTTACTTTCGTGCACCTATCTATTGTTAGCTGGAAGCTGCTGAATCATGGGAGGAATCAGTTGATGACATTATCTCTAACTTCGAGAGACACCACCGCCGGAAGCTTTTGTACAGCGTGTCCTATTATTAATAGTGCTGCCTTTTCGTCAAGTGGATTCCTCCACTGTCTTACTGAAGCTTGGATCTCTCTATCATACTGCTCAGTGCTTATGGAGTTTTGCAGAACTTGTAAATGTGGGGGCTAAGCTAGAAATCTGCTCAAGTCCAGGTAGTCTGCCAGAATCAGAGGATCTGTCATATGGCTGATAGAACAAAGCCAACTCCCTTCCCATCCCCTTCAATTCATTTTTCTTGTGAACCATTTGGTTTATAATGGCAGGCTCTTCTTACTGACACATTGCTCATCATTGATTGGGGAGGGGGGAATCATTTTGCATTTGAGATTCAGACTCTTGACTTGTATTGAGTTATGCAAACTATTGTAGGATTTGGAACTAGTTTTTAGGTCAGGTATGATGTGTTTGCAACATGGCTGGTCTTGGGGGACCCGATACCGGTGATGATATAGTGCCATGTTCGAGAGGGGGTCAGTCCAATTTTTATTAGTCGGAAAAAGAATACTTTAGTTTGGAAACTCTCAAAAGAGTAATATTGCAATGATCATTTCAGTGGTGTATTGGCTTGTAGTAAATTAATTATTGATGACTCAAGATTGGTAAAAATGCTTGAGCAGAACGTTTGCCTTTGCTTGAACTAAAAATAAAAAACTTTTCCAGTTTTATTGAGGCCCGGTATTTTCTTCTCGCCCAGGTTTTAATCAAAATGAAAATGAAATCTTCTTCCCAATTCCTTTCTTCAATTCCTCGGGTTCTCTGTAGTAAACACTATGCATTGTTACATTTGAGCGATGAATCCACGTCCATGATTATCAATCTGGCTCGTTCGTCCCAAAATATTATACTTCCTCCGTCTTAAAATTATTGTCCAGTTTGGACTTTCATTTTCAGTTTAAATTATACTAAAAGTAAAATCTCAAATTAAATAATAATTATTATTGTCCAGTTTTGACTTTCATTTTCAGTTTAAATTATACTAAAAGTAAAATCTCAAATTAAACAATAATTTTAGGACAGAAAAAACATATGATAATCATTTTGAAATAGTACATACGAGAATTCCAAATGCTGGTACATGGTTTGAATTCCATTATCGTACTAGCCAGTAAATTATGCACGTTTGTTATTCGTTATGTCAAACTCAATCTTGATCTGTGACTATGAAATCAAGTAGTGATTCACCATTTAATATTTCCACCCACCTCAAAAACATACAAGCCATACAATCGTACCTTAGGCTTAGGGCACAACTATTAAAATTATTAAATCCTTATCACAATTTAGCTTCGAGCCTTCGGCCATGTGTCTCTTTTTTTCCATATAGAGGTGGATTCACCCGGAACCAAGGTTAAACTTCTCCGGAAAAAAAAATGAAAAATAAACAAGTAAAACTTACAAGAAAATATATAATTTTTAATTACATATCTCAAGAGAAAATCTACATTAAATAGGGCTTTTTCCCAAAAAAAAATTAAATAAAATAAACGTGGACAAATTTAAATTTTTCAGAATATCTGTGGACAGAAATATATTGCTCGGATTTCTGAAATCCGAGTGTTGATTAATATTAGAGATTCGGATTTTGTAAATCCAAATCCATACTTAATAATAAAATAATAATTTCATAAATTTTGTTGAATAATAGTTTTTTTAGTTCTTTAGTGAACAGTAAAGCTCGGATTTGTAGAATCCGAGTTTAGTTAAAAATTAATAAATCGCGGCGCGAAATTTTTGAATCCAAAAAACCGGAAGTCCGTAATCCGGTTTGACGAATTCGGATTTTAGAAATCCGGATGCCTTTAATTTTGGTTGGTGGAAGTAGGCATGTGCCTTAAATTGGAGGACCAACAAATTAATAAAATAATCATGAATTGACAAAACTCGGATTTATGAAATCCGAATCTAACACAGTTCGGATTTCGAAAATCCGAGTTACTTACAAACTCGGATTTCGTAAATCCGAGTTTAACGTGCTATAAAAGAAAAAAAATTTCAGGCAGTTCTCATTCGAGAACTGAGTTGGATTTTCTGTTTTTGCAGCTCAAACAAGGGCGAATTGAAGTTTTTGATGCATTCTTGCCTCTAGATACGTGGAAATCGTTATTTGAAAGAGGTTAGATTGCAAAACCATGTTATTTAGTTTATTTTTGTGTTATTTTGATTGTTAGAATGATGTATGATAGATTAGGGTTTATGTTGGTTGGTTGTTTGGATGTTTTAGGTGTTGATTTTGAGGTTAGAGATGAGAAATCATAGTTGTTCATGAGATATCGAAGTTGATTTATAAGTATTTTAGTATGGTGTATTTGTTGGAGTATGTATGGTGTATGGTGTATGGTGTATTTTTAGAGAATGTATGGTGTATTTTGTTGATTTTGTTATTAAGAAATGATTAGTTATTGATGTTTTTTTTAACAGTTATCAATGGCACGTAATGTATCATACATGCTTAATTTGTATCATACAAGTAAGTATGTGATAGAGAACGGTAGCATCAACACTTTTTCGAATATGCCGGATGATGGTTTGTTTGTCGAAGAAAGGTTGTCATATGAGGGATTGATTAGTAAGATTTGTATGACCCTTGGTTGGGATCCAGCACACGTGAAACTCCACCTTTCTTTGATTTTCGATAGTCCCGGTGGTAGGCGTGTAGTGAAGATCAAGAATGATACGCATGTAGAGTTCATGAACCGTGTAGATCCAATGTCATGTTTGGATTTATACATAGATTTGGAAGATATCACTCAAGAAGAAAGAGAAGCGAGTTTGGAAAACGTGTCATTTGGTGATTTTCGAAGGGGGGGAACGTGCTAGTACTTCTCGAAACCGTGATGAAGAGGAGACACCTTTATTTGCACAAAATGACTACCGGGAAGAGTTGGATTCCGACTACATAGCTCCAAGTGAAAGCGAAGAAGACTGTGATGTCTCCAGAGAGAGTGATTTTGAAGAAAGTGATGATGAAAGGTTGGAAAATGAGGAAAGGGATTGTAATCTATTCGCCCGACGCCATGTATATAGTAAGATGGGGAACTGGGATGCCTCATGTGTAGACAAGGATGAGTTTGCTCTTAAGATGTGGGATGAGACGCCCGAAGGAATGGACATTGGTGTTTGTTTCAAATCTCAATCAGAAGCAAAGCATGCTGTGAAATTATGAAATATCCATCATAAAAGGGAATATACGGTCGCCGCGAGTAGTCCAAGGACGTGGGCTATGCGGTGCAGAACATTTAATGTGGAAAGTGAGGATGGTGAACCACCATGTGAGTGGAAGATGCGTGTGTCATTGAAAGCTCACGGCCTTCATGAAATTGTGAGATGGCATGATGCACATAATTGCATGACTCCTGTGAATGATAATGACAATCGGTGTGTGGACGCGTCTTTGATTGCTAGACTCATCAGGAGAAAGGTTGAGGACAACGTAGATTATACGGTAGCCTCGGCACAGAAAGATGTGAAGACCTTATTGAAAGTAGATGTGCCATACAAAAGGGCGTGGCACGGGAGGAGGAAAGCCATAGAAGCGGTTTATGGTGATTGGACCTCCAATTTCGAAGAACTTCCACGGTAAATATCAACTTTTATCCGTGTATTGAAATATTTATAGTATTTTTATTTTTACATGTATTGAAATATTTTAACAATGACTTGTTGTTGTTTAGGTATATCGTTGCACTTAAGTTTACTAATCCTGAGACTGTAGTAGAGTGGGAATGGAAGGAGGGACAAGAAGGTTGGAACAGGGGAAACCGGACATTTAAATACATCTTCTGGTCATTTGCACCGGTGGCTGAGACGTTTTTTGAATGTCCACCGGTCATTTGTATCGATGGAACCTTTTTGCGTGGTGGATACAAGGGTAAATTGCTTGTTGCGGTGGTGTATACCGCAAACAAGCACATTTTACCGGTTGCATTTGCGATTGTTGATGAGGAGACAGTAGAGAGTTGGACATTTTTTATGAGGAATTTGAGGTTGTGGGTTGTGTATGATAGAATCGTAAGTGTGATATCCGACCGGAATGCAGAGTTGTTGAGCGCAATGTCACAGATGGATGAATGGCGTGATTTAGGTGATGGTGGGCACTTTCTTTGCCTCCGCCACGTTCGCAGCAATCTTGTGTCGCGATATAATAGCAAAAAGGTGAAGCGGTTATGTTGGAAGATGGGCACGACACTTTCAAGAGTGAAATACAACCGTATGAGGGCAGAGCTTATTGAATTCAAACCTGCTGCATGGGAGTATCTTCGAGGGATTGGGGGGAGTAACTGGGCTCGATTGAAAGCCGGTCTTCGCCGTTGGGGCATAGCGACAACCAACATTTCTGAGAGTTACAACAATGCGTTGAAAGGGATCCGTTTTTTACCAATTAGAGCCTTGATCGATGCAACCTTTCGCAAAACTGTTAAATTCTATAGAGAAGAACAATTGTCTGCGAGAAATTGCATGACACCGATCCCTCCTGAGTTATGGAAAAAATACGAGAAAATGAATGATAAAGCAGCCAGTTTTGAAGCCACCCCTTTCGATGGTGATGATGCTATGTGGCGTGTTGTTACTGCCACACGCCTAAGTGGCAGGGGTGGGTCTCTGCATACGGTGAACTACGATGAACATAGGTGTTCGTGCAGGAAGTGGCAAGAGTACCGGATGCCTTGTACGCATGCACTCCAAGTTTGTCGGAGAAAAGGGGATCGGCCTATTGATCTATACCATAGTGTGTGGCGCCTTCCAACGTGGCGCAGACAATTTCATTACACGGGCTTTGTTCCGGTTCCCGATGAGGAACAATGGCCGATGGTCAATTGGAACATCATTCCGAATTATGAGCGTCTTGTGTTGCATGCGGGACCGGGACGAAGACAAAAAAGGAGACATAGAATGCAAATGGATTACAGGGGACGCCGGAGCCGGGGGGAATGTTGGAGATGTGGACAACTAGGTCATGATGCCAATTCATGTTCGTTCTCGCACCCAGGAGTAGATAGAAGACCTGTGGATGACAGCTGGAATTGAGTGTAATTTACTGTTCTTGCAAGTTATTTAGTGTTTGATAAATTTATGTGAACATTGATAAATTCGGATTGTAATGTGAACATTGAATTTTTCGGATTGTAAAGTGTGATGAAATATGTACTATTTTTCATAATCAAAATCGGATTGTGCAAAATACTCATCATTGTAAGGTTTTGTGAAGCATTCGGATTTCAGAAATCCGAGCTCAGAGTTTTTTTTTGAAATTGCAAAGGACTCGGATTGCCGAAATCCGAATGGATGAAAAGCATCCGAGAGTTGCAATTTGAGGAGAAACAAGGGAGATTCGGATTTCCTAAATCCGAGCTCAGAGTTTTTCTCGAATTTACTAAGAACTCGGATTTAGGAAATCCGTGTTTGTGAAAAGCATCCGAGAGTTGCAATTTGAGGAGAAACAGGAGAAATTCGGATTTTGTAAATCCGAGCTCAGAGACTTTCTCGAATTTACTAAGAACTCGGATTTAGGAAATCCGTGTTTGTGAAAAGCATCCGAGAGTTGAAATTTGAGAAGAAACAGTACTAACTCGGATTTCGCTAATCCGAACTCAGAGTTTATTTTTAATTTGCAAAGGAATCGGATTTCAGAAATCCGTGT